AGAGCTCTTGACAGAAACTGCTCTTTTTCAAGAACAGCTCTTATCAGAACTACGGCTTGCCCAAGATCATCCAGCCAGGTGCAAGTGGAGGAGTGGGGAATCAAACCCGGTTCTCCCGGATTAGGGTCCACACACTTAACCACCACACCAAACCGGAGAAGGCAGCTTCAAGTGTGTTTGTGTATGTCTCCCTCTCTCTCTCTTATGAGTACCTGGAGGATCTGAGGAAGAGGTTTACCCAAAAAACACCAACACAAAGAGAGAAGAAGAAAGCTTGCTTTCCGTAAGTGCACCGAGCAGAACGGAATAAATCACATCCTTATGAAACTGTCGCATATTACATGTGGGCTGTCATGTCACTGTCGAATAGCGCTTTCAAGGTCAGAGATATCCAGAGGTGGTTTTCTGGCCTTTGCCTGCCTCCGCATCACGGCTCTGGTATTCCTTGGAGGTCTCCCATCCAAATACTAGCCAGGACCGACCCTGCTTAGCTTCCGAGATGGGACGAGGTCGGGCTGTCCTGGGCTATCCGGCGTCAGGCTGCGCATTCCACAAAAGACCACAAAACTCCAAGGCTGCAGTGAAAAGACTTCGAAACCGTCAATCATTCCTATTACCGCCTGAACCGGGTTGTAGTCTTTACCTGGGGGCGCCGTGTGCTTATATTCTTTCTTGTGCTGAGGGTTCTTCCTGCAAAGGAAACGTGGGGGGAAGAGTTAAGACCTGGGCCTCCTCTCCCAAGCTTTCTTCATCACTCCAAAAATGTTTTCTGGACAGTGAAAACTATTACAATAATCAGGGGTCATTTCACAGAGAAAGAGGGGCAGGAGCTCATTAGCATAACTCATTAGCATAACTCATTAGCAGGAGCCACACCCTCTGACATCACCGGAAGTATGTCAGGAGGCAACGCCCACCGCTCAGGCTCCACTGAACTCTTTTGGATGGCTAGCTATTAGTCGGGGGGGGGGGAACCTGAGAAAGGAAGGAAGGAAGGAAGGAAGGAAGGAATAGACAGTGGCTTCTTGCTCCTTGTGGACTGGGGCTGCTGGGAGCAGGGGGCGGGGCTCGTTGCATGTGCCCGCCCACTGGGCTCTTTACTGCCGGAGCTCCGCTCCTGTGCGCTCCTGCAGGAAATGACCCCGGACAATAATCATGAAAAGCTGAGGAAGTTTAAGCAGGTGGGTTTAACCATTTTGTCCTCTGCACCTTCCATAAAGTCCTCTGAGCTTTACAAGAGAAAAGGAAACACAATTGCTCTCCAACCTCTAGCTTAGAAAGGAAGCAAAATATAACAGGTTTAAAATCACGCTAGAACTATATGTCCTCACTGCGGTGGTGCGGGGGCGGGGGGGGAGATATTTGTTTGGCTCTCGGTTCCTTACACTTGGCTTGCTCTTTCCTACATTTACGTCGTCCAGGAAAACACACATTTATCAAAAGGGGGGGAAGAAACGCTACCTGCAAAACAAGTATTGTTTGAAAACCAAAGCAACCACAAAGAGAAAACAAGAAGACTGAAGTGAATTCTCAGGAGCTTCCAGCATGAGGCAAGACACCATCGATCTTGTTTATGGGTAGGGTTGAAGCTTTTTACTAAGGTATTGTGTACCTGCATGGGGGGGGGGGGAACCAGTGCGGCACCTACAAAGGAGGTATAACCTACTTATGAGCAATGCTCCCTCTAAGCTGTGGAGTCTTGTGAGCAAAAATTCCGCTTTGTGAGCGACTGGCATTCAAGTTGCGAGGGAGCGCCTGGGCTACTGCATAAATTAGTTTGCTCCGGAGCCCTCCTTCCTGAGCTGAGACAAAAAAATTGTGAGCCAGAGGTTAAAAAACTGTGAGCTAGCTCATGCTAACTCAGCTTAGAGGGAACACTGCTTATGAGCTCAATTGGGTTGGATCCTGCCTAGCATTTCTACTGATGGAAGGAGAGGGCGGCTTATGCGCTGCAGGCCTCCGACGCTCCCTTCGCGCTGTTCCAGAGGAACCAATTAAATGGAAAAACATGAACGAGAGAGGCAAAAGAGGATGGCTATCCCTTGGTCCAGTTGCATAAAGCCTGGGTCTGACAGAAACGGCTCTTTTTTCAAGAACAGCTCTGACAGAACTATGGCTTGCCCAAGGTCATCCAGCCAGGTGCAAGTGGAGGAGTGGGGGAATCAAACCCGGTTCTCCCGGATTAGAGTCCACACACTTAACCACTACACCAAACTGCGGCTTTTGCGCTGCAGGCCTCCGACGCTCCCTTCGCGCTGTTCCAGAGGAACCAATTAAATGGAAAAACAAGAACGAGAGAGGCAAAAGAGGATGGCTACCCCTTGGCCCAGTTGCATAAAGCCTGGTTCACTTGTCTGGATAGGAGGAGGAGGAGGAGATTAGATTTATACCCCGCCCTGAGACCTGAAGGAGTCTCAGAGTTTTTACATACTGTATACATTTCTTATTAAAGTCAAGCCTTTATTACCATTAGTCAGGGCTATTTTGGGGCAGGAACTGTTAGACCTGGATCATTACATTATATGTTCCATCACATTTCAACACCACTACGGCTGTTAGGATCAAACGATAATCAAAGAGTACATTTAAAGAGCATTTCGAAGAATAAAAAGGATAACAATAAACTAGGTTCATATATACGTCAAAAGTGGGACTTTCCCCAGTAGCCTGGATGGCCAATCCACTCCACGCAGCAGCTCCGCTGTGGAAATCAAGCTGCAAAATTATTTCTGGATTATTGGTTGTCAGTGTTCCCTCTAAGATGAGTTAGTGTGAGCTAGCTCACAGTTTTTTTAGCCTCCGGCTCACACATTTTTGTCTTGGCTCAGGAAGGACGGCTCCAGAGCAAACTAATTTGGGCAGCAACCAAATTGCTCACTTTTCCCCAGTAGCCTGAATGGCCAATCCACTCCACGCAGCAGCTCTGCTGTGGAAATCAAGCTGCAAAATTATTTCTGGATTATTGGTTGTCAGTGTTCCCTCTAAGATGAGTTAGTGTGAGCTAGCTCACAGTTTTTTTAGCCTCCGGCTCACACATTTTTGTCTTGGCTCAGGAAGGACGGCTCCAGAGCAAACTAATTTGGGCAGCAACCAAATCGCTCGCTCACAACTTTAATGCCAGGAGCTCACAAAGTAGAATTTTTGCTCACGAGACTCCACAGCTTAGAGGGAGCGTGGTTGTTGAAGGTACAAAAGCCATCCTCTTCCTTGGCACTTCATACGGTTGCCCAGGTCTTGCCTGGCTGCTGGTGGGGGGGGGGCTCCCTTTTTGCCACCTGCAGTTTTTGGTTGCGCACAAAAAGTGTACGCGGTGTGACAACGTCACCCGGAAGTGACGTCATTGCGCAACGGCGTCTTGCAGGGGGACACTATCATTTGGGGGGAAACTATGGTAACCAGTGTTCCCTCTACGCTGAGTTAGTGTGAGCTAGCTCACAGTTTTTTAGCCTCTGGCTCACACATTTTTGTCTCAGCTCAGGAAGGAGGGCTCCAGAGCAAACTAATTGATGCAGTAGCCAAATCACTCGCTCACAACTTTAATGCCAGGAGCTCACAAAGTAGAATTTTTGCTCACAAGACTCCACAGCTTAGAGGGAACATTGATGGTAACAGAGTTCTCCCTTAAACGACAGTGTACCCCCGCCTTGCACGATAACTACTTCCAGGTTACCATAGAGTTTTCCCTCAAACGATAGACCATCCCACCCCCCCAATGTGCCCTGCGGGATGACACTACCTCCGGGGTAACATCATTGCACCAGGGCGCTGATGGGGCTCTTTGGGGGTGGGATTCACCCCGTCGGCCGGATCTGGCGGATTGGGCCCCCCCGAAAGCGGGTAACCCCATCCACCCCTGTCAGGGGAATGGCAACCCTAGCCCTTGGTCACCTGGGGGGGGCGGGTTAAGCTGGGTACATATGGTACGAGAAAAAAACTTACAATGTTCCCTCTAAGCTGTGGAGTCTTGTGAGCAAAAATTCTACTTTCTGAGCTACTGGCATTAAACATTGTGAGCAAGTGATTTGGCTACTGCATAAATTAGTTTGCTCTGGAGCCATCCCTCCTGAGCTAAGACAAAAATGTGTGAGCTGGAGACTAAAAAACTGTGAGCTAGCTCACACTAACTCAGCTTAGAGGGAACACTGAAGGGGATTCAGTATCGCAAGCCGGAGTTACGAAGTGGGAGAGGGCGAGAATGCAACGTGCCCGTCTCCTCCTCCGAGACGGTCAGAGCACGAATATTTCTCGAGCGACTGAATTCTCAAGCCATTTGTATGCTAATGCAATTTTAGATAATCTGCTGCCTTCAGAGATCGTGTGCTAAGGGCGCCTTTGTCCTCCTACGTCTAGATCTCAGCTTGATTGCTCCTCCCCCTCCATCAGTGGGATATTTGAGCTCCACAATCTCGGGGCAGAACGGGGCCTATTAAGTAACAACCCACAATAGTGTCTAATTACGACAATTAATAACCAGCACATTGAAAGACAACCGCTCAGAGCGGATTTGCCGGGCCCGAGGTTCCTCCATAACAAACTGTTCGACATGCAGATCACCAGCCGACTGTGGTACGATATAATTCAGACTGTTGTATGCATAAGCTGCAAAAACACAGGACACTGGGCCAACATCAGACTCGAGGTTCCATATCGGAGGTCCACATTATGTGGCGCCCGCCAATACCTTTCCTGGCACCCGCCAAGTATTTTTAGATTGTGGCTGGGGCTGGCTGGGGCTTTTGCCCAGCAAGAATTCTGATTGGTTCTGATTTGTTTGGCTGTATGGATTTTTTAAAAATGTAGTTACGGTGGGGCCAATGGGGGCTCCGCCCCCTTCCTTAAAGGGCCAGGCCCCCTTCCTTGAAAATCCCCCTGCTTCCCAAAAGCATTTAAAGGGCTGACAGGTGAGGCTGACAGGCCAGTGGGGGACGTTCCAGGAGCCTCCGGGAGAGGGGTGGGAAGGAGCACCATTGAACTCCGAAGGGAGTTCTGGCCATTACATTTAAAGAGGTCGCGTTCCTTTTAAATGCCTTCCCTCCATTGGAAATAATGGAGGATGGGGGCAACCTTTTGAGAAGGAGCGGGGTGGTGGTGGTGCACGCCCCCTCCCTCTCCTCCTGCAAAATTTAAAGGGCTGATTGGCGGGGAGCACATGGCCAGCCCATCAACTGGAGGACCCTTTAAATCTTGCAGGAGAGGAGGGAGAGGGGCGCCCCCCCTTCATTATGGCAAATAATGGCAGTCCCACCAGAAAAAAAATTTCCCCCCACAAGCCACAACATCCTGGCTACGGGCCTGACTCAAGGTCAGCTGGGGCAATCTTTCTGTAGCTGGCTCCGCCTTCTGCAGCAGCCATTTTGTGACTGCGCCTACCCCGCTGTGTCAGAATTCCAAAGGTGCCCGCAGGCTCAAAAAGGTTGGGGAACCTTTGCTCTGTAAGCCCATTAGGTAAAGGTAAAGGTTCCTTGCTCGAAAGCCAGTCGAGTCCGACTCTAGGGTTGCGGTGCTCATCTCCGTTTCAAAGCCGAAGAGCCAGCGCTGTCCGAAGACGTTTCCGTGGTCATGTGGACGGCATGACTAAACACCGAGGCGCACGGAACGCTGTTACCTTCCCACCGAAGTGGTACCTATTTATCTACTTGCAATGTCTTGCTTTCGAACTGCTAGGTTGGCAGGAGCTGGAACTAGAGACGGGAGCTCACTCCGTCATGCGGCAACTTGGGTCTTGAACTGCTGATCTACTGACCTTCCACAGCCTGCAGTTTAGCATCTTAACCACTTGAGCCACTGCAGCTCCGTGTAAGCCCATTACTGTTCTCTAAAAGGAAATCACGATGGCCCACAGTGCAGACAACACACTTAGCTATGGTTAGCGTCAGCCATGGCTTGACCGTCCTTGCAATCACAAGCGTACAATGAAAGAATTTCAACAGCCAATCCACATGCAAAAGAACCTGCTCAGGAAACAGGAAACCTCCTCGGGAAACAATCCATATGCAAAAGAACCTCCTCAGGAAAGCTCCTCCATTAGCATGTTTCACAGCCTGGGGGAACTCCGACAAGATAACGACTCAGCCCTACCCCACCTTCCTGAGTAGATATAAATTACCTGCCTACCATTTTCCTTCTCACCTTGAGACAGAGAGTACTCCATCTTTCTGTGTTATACCTCTGAGGATGCCAGTCACAGTTTCTGGCAAAACATCAGGTCCTACAATGCCATGACCACGGCCAGACAACCCGGAAAATCTACAGCAACTAATTTTTTTTTTATGGAGGAGCTTTCCTCAGGAGGTTCTTTTGTATATGGATTGTTTTGTATATGGATTGTTTCAGAGTGGCTTGCAATCTCTGGAAATTTCAGGAAACAATCCATATACAAAAGAACCTCCTCAGGAAAGCTCCTGCATTAGCACGTTCACAGCCTGGGGGACTCCGACAAGATAATGACTCAGCCCTACCCCACCTTCCTGAGTAGAGATGAATCACCTGCCTACCATTTTCTTCTCACCTTGACACAGAGAGTACTCCATCTTTCTGTGTTATACCTCTGAGGATGCCAGTCACAGCTTCTGGCGAAACGTCAGATCCTACAATGCCAAGACCACGGCCAGACAACCCGCAAAATCTACAACAGCTAATGAAAGAATAGTTTATTCTTGCCAAGCTATGTCCTACCACAGACAGCGAATATCGGGGGCACCCCAGCGATACCTGCTTTTCACTGCTGCAACTGTATGCATTCCTTCAGTTTCTCCAAGCACCTTTATCTGGAGTTATGTTCCTTTCCCAGTACCTAGCAAAGACTGATCTTCCACAGGTTATGGCATGTACGCACAAATTCTTGAGCACCTTTGGGTGGAAAGTCTACATGGGAGCCAGTTTGGTGTAGTGGATAAGAGCTGCGGACTCTAATCTGGAGAACCGGGTTCGATTCCCCACTCCTCCACATAGTCAGCTGGGTGACCTTGGGTCAGTCACAGTTCTCTCAGAGCTGTTCTCTCCAAGAGCAGTTCTCTCAACGCTCTCTCGGCCCCACCTACGTCACAGGGTGCCTGCTGTAGGGAGAGGAAGGGAAGGTGATTGTAAACCACTCCGAGACTCCTTTACGTAGTGAAGGGTGGGGTATATGAAACCAACTCTTCTTCCTCTTCTTTAAGGCAGACTGCTGTAGCTATTCACTGTGGCACGCATACCAACTGCAAACCATAGTTTGCAATGTTGGGTTCCAGTACGTCCTTAAGTATTGGCTTCGGTATTCAGACACAGTGCCTAACTGTATTTAAACATCATGTCTGCAGTGGGTCTATATGCTCACCTGCAGTTCTTGAATTATAACCGGGATGTGAACATGCCCAGAACCCCAGCCGAACACATCCAATATTATCTCTTGTAAACATCAAGCCAATGTACACAAACGTTGTCAACATTTTTTAAAAAAAACTCCCCCCAAGAGACAGGAAACTATCCTCTGACAAGACACCGAAACTCTTTGTACTGGCAAGTATCTCTTACCTGTAGCAAGTGGTTCCATAGGGGCATTCAGGTCGTTGATCGTTATCGGCTGCAGTTACAACCTCGGGGTCATGGTAATCACCATCGCCAGGGTGAGAGAACTGCTGGAAGTGTACAGGGTTCTTCCTGTGGAATTGGGAAGGATAGTATTCATATAAGCTTGTAATGTATATTCAGCATACCACCCGGGATTGGCAAATGCCATGCAAGTCATTCAACTAAACATGCATGCTCTAAGTGACTGGAACCCCCGACGTATTGTTGACGACAATCCAAGGTCTTTTGGTTAGGGTTGCCGGGTCAGACTCAGGAAATATCTGGGGACTTTGGGGGTGGAGCCAGGAGGAAGGATGTGACATCACAAAAGTGATGTCACATCCTGTGATCAATGTTCCCTCTAAGCTGTGGAGTCTCGTGTGCAAAACTTCTACTTTGCAAGCAACTGGCATTAAAGCTGTGAGCCAGCGATTTGGCTGCTGCATAAATTAGTTGGTCTGGAGCCGTCCTTCCTGAGCTAAGACAAAAATCTGTGAGCTGGAGGCTAAAAAACTGTGAACTAGCTCACACTAACTCAGCTTAGAGGGAACACTGCCTGTGATGTCACTTCCAGGTCCACCCCCCCCCATCCAGAAGGCTCCTGTGATTCCATGGGAGGAGCCTGTGCGTCTAACACTGTGGTTGCTCTCAACTCATTCTCCACCCAAGCCACACACACGCTGGTACCATTTAGGGTTTTCAGGTGAGGCTGACAGGCCGGCGGAGGATTTTCCAGGAGCTCCCGGGAGGGGGGAGGGAAGAAGCACCACTGAACGCTGAAGGGAGTTCTGGCCATCACATTTAAAGGGATGGCCTTCAGTTGCCACCGTGCCCTCACTCCCAAGCGCTCCTGTCAATATTACCCTAAGTGTATACACAACCTTACCTCTGGACTGACTTGCCCTGAACCAGAGGTTTTCCCCCCCCCGGGATTAGTTTAAAAACTGCTCTGCCACCTGTTGGATATAGTCGCCAGCAGCCTGGCTCTCCTTTCGTTCAAGTGAAGCCCGTCTCTTTTGTACAAGTTCGGCTGGTCCCAGAAAGTTCCCCAGGGCCTAAAAAATCTAAACCCTTCCTCCCGGCAGCACATTCTCAGCTGTACCTTGAGACCTCTGATCTGTGCCTGTCTAGCTGGCCCTGTATATGGAACTGGCAGCGCTTTTGAGAATGCTACCTTTTTTGAGGTCCTGGCCATTAATATCCTGCCTAGTAACCTAAATTCCAGGAACTGCTGTGGCTCTAGTGGTTAAGACGCTGAACTGCAGGCTGGAAGGTCGGGGGGTCAGCAGTTCGAGACCCGAGAGCCGCATGACGGAGTGAGCTCCCGTCTCTGGCCCCAGTTCCTGCCAACCTAGCAGTTCGGAAGCAAGAAACTGCAAGTCGATACATAGGTACCGCTTTGGTGGGAAGGTAACACCTTGGCGCTTAGTGATGCCGGCCACATGGCCATGGAAACGTCTTCGGACAGCGCTGGCTCCTCGGCTTGGAAACGGAGACGAGCACCGCAACCCTAGAGTTGGGTTCGACTGGCTTTCGAACAAGGGAAACCTTTACCTTACTATCCTAAATCCCCGCACCCAGGACCACACAGCTTCATTTCCCAATTAATGTCCTCTTTGAGACACAGCGACCAAAACTGCATGCCGTATTCCCAATGAGGCCGCACCACAAATCTATATGGGACCATTCTTCTAAGGAAAAGAGGCTTTTATACACAAGAGCCTGCATTGCAAGATCTGGTCACCCCAATATTCATTTATTCTTCCCACCTGTACGCCACTTGTCCGTCACAGATCTCAGGCTGGGTATGTGGCTTGAGTGGAATTCACTGCCACAGGAAGTGGTGGCGGCTACAAGCATGGAGAGCTTCAAGAGGGAATTAGATAAGCATATGGAGCAGAGGTCCATCAGTGGCTATGAGCCACAAGGTATAGATAGGGACTCTGGGGCAAGGGATGCTCTGTCATCTTGGTGCTTGGGGGGGGGGACAACAGTGGGAGGGCCTCTAGTGACCTGGCCCCACTGGTGGACCTCCTGATGGCACTGGTATTTCTGGCCACTGAGTGACACAGAGTGTTGGGCTGGATGGGCCTTTGGCCTGATCCAACATTGGCATCTCTTATGCTCTTATGAGTGATCATGCTCATTACTAAATCATTTTGCAACTTAGATGTACCTGTAGCAGTGACTCCCGTACTGGCAAGGGATCCTCTTGTGCTCGGTTACGTTAGAGCTCTGCGGTACATCCGAACTTTCAGTTAAATCTGAACTGTCTGCTTCGGTAGTCTGATCTGGTATAAACGCTTCGCTCCCATCCTGGTGAACTAGAGACTGAGACGGAATTCCTTGGTTCTCTGCTTCAGATGTGGCACTGTCTTCTTTGGTCTCCCTTTTACCACTTGCATCTCTTTCAACGGACGGCTGTGCTGATTGGCTGGGCTCTGAGCATTCATTCTGCACCGTCAAACGTTTAGGTATTTGAGGTACCACTTTGCTATTATTCTTTTCTACTTTTGACGCAGCAGATTCTGTAGCGACTCCCTGTATATCCTGTGGAGATTATGAAATTCTTAAGATGTATTTTAGGCCGTAACACCTCACATCGTAAAGAAGAGCCAGTTTGGTGTAGTGGTTAAGAGCAGCGGACTCTAATCTAGGAGAACTGGGTTCAATTCCCCACTTGAAGCTAGTTGGGTGACCTTAGGCAAGTCACAGCACTCTCCGCCTAAAAATAAGCACAACTCGCCACCTAGTGGTGCCAAAAAAGAGCTACAGCTTCGGCAGCCAAACAACCCCTTCCCGGATCTCCGGCCTATTCCACACACAATGCCGTATGATAATTAATTAATTAACATAATAAAGGTAGATTAGGCTGAATTCTCAAGTAGTTCGAAGATGCCTTTATTAAGGGGTTCTTCTGTTTTCAAAGGCACAGATTTTGCACGTGGTGAAAGTCAACACAGCACTTGATAAGCAACACACAGACAAGGGGGCCTGTCCCCAAGGAGCTTACAATCTAAAATAGGCGGTGGAGAAGAGGTAAAGAAAAAACTGAAGAGGTAACAGGAGCATATGTAGTCATACGCATTTTAAAAGCTCAGACAGACGTGAGAGTTAAGAGGTTTAAGCCAAAGAGTTCCTGGAGAAGCAAGCTTTGACACAAAGTCTAAGGGGTAACTAAGACAGGAGGGGAAGAGAAACAACTCTCCACAAAAGATACAACATTAATGGGCAGCAGATCACAGAACGGGCATGAAAGAAGGAATTACAGAGCTGACAGGCTACAAAGAGCTCCTGGAGACCACAAGAGCAGAGAGGCCAGAAAGAGCCCTTGAAGATCACAAGAGGGCAGAAAGAGCCCTTGGAGACCGCAAGATCAGAGAGGCCAGAAAGAGCCCTTGAAGATCACAAGATCAGAGAGGCCAGAAAGAGCCCTTGGAGACTGCAAGATCAGAGAGGCCAGAAAGAGCCCTTGAAGATCACACAGGAGGTGGAGCCAGCCACAAAACAACAGGGGCGCAAGATCAAACGAGGGGATGACCATGAGTATGGAGTCCATCTACAGACACAAGCTCAAATAAAGCTGCTACCGAGAGAAGGCCAGAAGACGGTAGGACAAGTAAGGCTATCAACAGACCTGACATCATCACCAAAGAGCAATGCAAGAATGAAAGGAGGAAAAGGCAGGTGAAGCATCAGGATTGGATAGGGAGGCAGGGTTGGGGGGGACGCGGGAGGAAAGAAGAGATCTGGAATGAGATGCAAGGGAGAAGAGGAGGGATTTGTGCTGAGAAGTTGTGAAGAAGGGGAGAGGGCAAACCCAAGCTAGAAGTGACAGGGTGTTTGTTGAGACAGTGGGCCGCCATCTTGGCCAAAGGAGAATGAAGTCAAGGTAATGTGTACCCTTTTAAAGAGTGTGGGCACACTTGGAACTCTGGCCCAGGGTGGTGGTCGCCACCTCCAAGTGGCTGCCACAGGAGGTGGAGCCAGCCACAAAACAACAGGGGGTGAGGTTATGCATATCTATCACAGTGACTCATCGACGTTTAACACAGAAGCTCCGTTAAACAGGGTGCACAGCTAACCAAAAGCACTGCTGGGCAAAAGCTCTACCTGGCCTTGCTCACGTGATTGGAAAAAAAACCCACCGCTTGGTGGGCACCAGGGAAAGTGTCAGCAGGCAACACGGCCAGTGTTCCCTCTAAGCTGAGTCGGTGTGAGCTAGCTCACAGTTCTTTAGCCTCCGGCTCACACGTTTTTGTCCGAGCTCAGGAAGGAGGGCTCCGGAGCAAACTAATTGATGCAGGAGCCAAATTGCTCGCTCACAACTTTGATGCCGGTAGCTCACAAGGCAGAATTTTTGCTCACAAGACTCCACAGCTTAGAGGGAACATTGACCATGGCACCCACGGGAACTATACTGGGGAACCAATAGCTTTCCGAATTCGCTTCGAAGTGCTGGTACTTACCTTTAAAGCTCTATATGGCCAGGGTCCGACGTACTTGCCCGCCTTTCCCCATACATACCCCAGAGACCACTACGGTCAGGGGCCCAACATCGTCTAGTGATCCCAGGCCCCAGGGAGGCCAGGCTTGCGGCAACCAGGGCCAAGGCCTTTTCAGTGGCGGCTCCTACCTGGTGGAATGAGCTCCCAGAGGAGATCAGGGCCCTGCGGGACCTTTCACAGTTCCGCAGGGCCTGCAAGACGGAGCTCTTCCGCCAGGCTTTTAGTTAGGAGCCGCCACTACCACCAACAACAACAACTATTCTGTGGTAACAACGGAGTAACGGGATGGCCCAATATAAAGATCTCGCAACAGTACCGTGATGAGTCGATGCCGTTGATGCGGGCGTTTGGGTACATTTGCAGGTCGCTGTCTTGATTTGACTAAACTGATAACATCTTTGAGCACTTTATTATTGTTAATATGGTTGTTTTTATGTGTGATTTTATTGTTTTATTGGCACATACTGCCCTTATTTGTAAGCCGCCCTGAGCCCGTCCGCGGGGAGGGAGGGATATAAGTGTAATGCTAAATAAATAGAAATAAAATAAACCCTGCTTTACAGGTGACAAAAATAAAAGCCTGAACATTTCACTTAGTATCTTATATGAATAAGATTCCACAGAGAAAACTATTTTAACATATATGGAATACTGACTTTCAGACGCCATGGGTACTTTGTCACCACTTAGCTGTGATTTTTTTAGTATGAATTTTTAGAGACTGTTATGCGCAGGGAGCAATTTCAAAAAAAGGACGCCAGTTGGGTCAAGCTTCATTATCTATGTTTTCGTCATGTAAAGAAAGGCAGCAGTTAACACACACACACACACACACCGAGCATTCTCAAGATGAAGCTGCGACTGAATAGCAAAGCGACGCAACGTTCCCAGACTTAAAGACCGGAAGCCGGCGGAAACGAAATAAGCAGCGAGGCATCATTTGCATGGTATTGCGAATGCTTCAAAAGCTTGCAAGATTACAGAGGGACCAGGCACTGCGGAAAACAATTGGGAACGGGCTTATTTTTCGCCTCTTGCTTCAAAAGTCAGCCTGTGGTGCCACGGTCTGAACAATGCCTCATCAGCGCAGATATGTCCAAGAATAATCCCAACGACTGAGCCAAAATATAATAATTTGGAATGAAAAGTTACTAATGCTTAGTACATATCTTCATAGCAGACGGCAAACGGCTAGAACCTAAGTCATCGTCTTGCGATTGAGTGGGAAATGGAGCCATGTTAATAGGCAGAAAAGGGCAGCCAGGATGAACACATGAAACAGCCTTATATTGAATTAGATCAGAGAGCCCCAACGTGGTGCTTACGGGCCCCACGGAACCCGCGGATACCCTTCTGGGAGCCCACCGATTGTTTTTAGAAAAATCGGCAAGGCCAGGTAGGGCTTGTGCCTGGCAAGGCTCTGAATGGCTTTGCAGATTTTTTTTTTGAAAATGTTGTTTTGGCAGCAGCTACAAACAAAAAAGGAGGGGAAGGGGAAAGAAAAAAGAGGGGGGGGGGGGGGGGAGGAAAAAG